CTGCTCCAACACCTAGGCCCTTCTCCAAATCCAGCCCTTCCCCCAGTGGGCTACAATAGGCTCATTTTGTTCTGCCAAGCTTGTCAATAAACAATCAGGAAGCATTTGGCCCTCCTGCCTATGTGCCTGCTTTCCCCACACTTTGTGCTATCTGATTTTAACCCCTCCCCTCCTTTGGGCTAAGTAATTTTCTTTGTTACCTTTTTAAATCTTTCTTCTCCCTTGTTTCAAATCATCCTTTCACACCTATCAGGACCACGATACCTGGGGGACTGCCTCTCCTAACTTTGGTCTTCCAGGATTCTACAATCTCCATCCAGGGCCTTCCTCTGACAGTCATCCCAGAAGGAAGCCCAGAAGGAGGAACGAGGAGGAGGGCCTTCACAGTGGTTCCTGCCCCCCCCCCCCATTTTGAAATAATCTCCCCTCTGAGGTCCACCTAGCACCAACATTATTATTCTTCCAGTATCAGGTTAAAACTTCCCTCTGTTCCCAGGGATTTAATGGCATATGATGGAAAATGTCAGCTGATTTAATCTGGTGCAGTTTTGTAGGAATCGTTTTAGATGTTTAACCTGTTATATTTTGTATACTGAAATTTTAAACTATTTTAAAAATGTGTACTGGAATTTTATACAGTGTTCCACTGTATGTGTATTTTTATTGCCCCTCCACCCCCACTCTCTCAATTTTGCACTTTGAGAAATTGTTGAGAACGACCCAGAGAGATTCACAAATAAATATGTGAAATGGCCTGCTGAATTGTTTTTGGACAAAGTTATTCTAAATCAGATGTTGCTTGCTATCCCCCACTTGGTACCCTTCAGATGTGTTGGAGTACTGTTTAGAGATTGTGGGAGTCATATCTAACACATGTGGAGGGCACCAGTTTGAAGGTAACCGGTATATTCTAACCGTTTTCTTTTATATAAACCTCATGGGATTATAATCCTTTTAAAATTAGTGTGATGTAATGTTGCTAAGCAAATAGGTTTCCCTATTTTACAAAGAAGAGCATTGATTTTTGAAGTTTTTCTGGCTTTGAACTGTACCTTTGAGACTGCCTGGCTCACACTTTTGTATAGAGCATTTATTTATTGAAAAAGACTGAAATAAATGCTCTAGACAGAGGAAGGGGTAGGCAAAGGCACAGCAAAGATCAAAGCTAAAAGCCTGTGGGAAGGTGAATCTTATGAAAGGTACTTGTTGAATGTAATAGTTAGAATTCTTAATCAAAGAATCAGCCATACAACAGACGGGGGCACTGTTGTATTGCATCTGAAGCCTTTATTCCATTGCAATTTATTTCCTTAGTAGCATATTTTGCTAGAAGAAACCAGCTAATGACACATTATCTGCTTGCATTAAGCAAAAGTATTTGTTATCACCACAGGCAGTGATTGCTTGCTAATTGCACTCTTTTATGTGGCACTGATATGAAGAAAAGATACTGTATATCTTGACAATGATTACTGAAGCTAGAATTCGTTAAAAAACTGAATTCACACTGTATTCTTGTTCAGTATGGGAATTCTTTTGACTGTTTACTTCATCTCTTAGGCCAGTGGCTGCATTGGGCATAAAAACAAATTATGCTTTTCCTCCAGGAACAAGCTTAGGCAAAGTACTCATGTCCCACCTCCTTCCCTTCCAGTGTGGTGGCAAAGAAATGGGAAGCTCCAGCTTTCAATTAATCTCAATGTAATATGTCTGAAACCTAAACTATGATTAATCTTAGCTATGGTTTACTGAATCAAGCTTGTTTCATGTGGGTTTGTTTCAGCAAACCACAGTTTCAAATAAGCGCAATTTGCCCAATTTTGCTAAGAGTAAAAAGTGGAAGCTAACAGTTCTAAACTACTCCTTGTGGTCCTGCCAGAGGAGAGAGATGCTCAGGGACATCACCAGTGCTTGCAGTAATACCACACTGTCACCTTTGCAAGTCTCCCAGTAGCTGGTGGCAACAGGACTGAATTTTCCCTGCAGCAGTATATAATGCACCATTGTTATGCAGAGGATTTTGGTGCGACTTGGTCTTGAATGGTTTTGTAAAGGCCCTCATGGTGGCCTTGAAAATTACTAGACCAATTTGTTGGTCTGGATCAGTGCAGCAGCCTGAATTGGGGTTGGCTATGGGAACTAGTGAGTGCCTGGACTGCCACATTTACCACTACATCATTGGTAACCTCTTTTTGTTGTTATTGTTGTTGCTGATCTTTTAATTTTGGATGTATGAATTCAAGTTGTGTAAAAGGTTGCTGTGCTATATTTTTTCTAAAATCTTCAGCTAAGCCATGGGTCTTCAAAATATGGCCCGCAGGATGGATCTGGCCCACCACGGCCATCCATCTGGCCCATGCTGCTGTTCACCGCCCGTGCACATGCTTGCTGCGCGGGCGGGGAGATGGTGACTTGCTTGATCGGAGATGGTCTCCAAGCGAGTGAGTCAGCTGCTGCCACCTGCCTCCTGTATGCACACGCTCGCCGCTGCCTCGTAGCGCGGGCGGGGAGGTGGTGACTTGCTCGCTCGGAGATGGTTTTGAACTCTCTGGGAGATCTCTGAGCCACCTCGCGTGCGCCTAACAGCACCTCACTGGCCCATGCCCCTAGGCACCCCCCACCTCACCAGCCCACTACGCTCACCAATGCTCATTGCAGCCTTTCAACTGGCCCCTTATTCAAAAAGTTTGAGGACCCCGAGCTAAGCTATAAAGCACTCATACAGTAGAGACCCTGTTGTCCGTGGCCTCAGTCCAATTCATCCAGTTCTTGGTTAATAGTAACTGAAGTCTTTCAAATTACTGTGTATGCTGGCTCTGTATCTATGGCCATTAGTTTAATGGCTACTTTGCATGGCATTACAGGAGACCCACATTTAAGATTTAGATGCTGTGCCAAGGGCCTACTTTTGTGTGTGGCTAACCAGTCATGGGCACTTGTTTCTGGACTTTATGTCGTTTATGTACTTAGCAAGTTCAAGTACTAAGTGCCTAGGGGCTGTTGGCGGCTGCACCTGAGTCTGTGATTGTAAACTTGCTTACAGTTCTGATGTTCTGGAGAAGTAGGGGAAGAAGTTGGCTAGGGATTGTGTTTTCTCCCTCCGAACCCTTCTGGGGCTACAGGGAAGTATAAGTAAAAAGAAGGAAAACATACCTTGGGTAGGGGTACAGGGAGAGAACATGTATCCCTTTCCCCATGGAAGAAGTAACTCATGCTTCTTCTTGCACCACTGTTTAGCATTCTCAAAGTGGAGTTTCACTGACATTAATATGACTTACTTTAATGAAGTAAAGGACTTTGGGGTTGAAACCTATTTTTCCAGGCTTCAGATCTGACTAACACAGGCTTCTCTGACCTGGTGCCTTCCATCCCATCAACCTCAGCCTGCATGGCCAGTACTCAGAAATGCTGGGAACTGTATTCCAAAATATCAGGAAGGTACCAGGTTGCAGAAGGTTGGGTTGATGTATAGGTGTTGAAAAAAGCAACTTCCACAAAACTAAATATTTTTATTTTGCTGGGACCTACCTTCTTACCTTCCTTAATTTGTAGGCTGGGGAGCCTCAGTGCCCCAGCTTTATGGAATTGCTGCATGCTGCAAAGGTTTATCGGCCATGTTCTTAGGTGTAATCATAATTGGTAAGCCATAATACTGTTGCTCCACGTCGAATAAGCATTCCACCTAAAATTATTATTTTTATTATTTGCAACATTCCTTTGGCTATTTATTGCAAGGGAAATCTAGTGCTGGGAGAAGAATTGCCTTATTCAGGAAAATCTGCTTGTCCTATTCAGGAATCTTTCAGAAGCATGCAGCGTTCCTCAAAACTTAGCTTGAAAACCATGGTTTAGGCTGCATTTCTGTATTTTTTAATAAATTTTTATACACTGAACTTTTAAGGTGCAAAAGCTAAATTTTGTCAAGTTAAATATAGATTTGCACATCCTTTAGATCTTCAGGAGATGCAAGTTCCTCATTACAGTGCAGGTGACTGTTCTGTGCTTGCATAGGAATAATGCATCAATAGCCTGTCCAGGAAAGGTCAAGGTATTATACTTTTTGACAGTTGCAGAAAGTTGCTGGGCCTAATTCAAAGTTGTTTTAAAGATTATACAAGGTCATGTTATACCAGGAGTACAGGGGTTGTCTTTCAACAGCAGATGCCTTTAAGATCTTGCATAATATTTTCCACCTGTTAGTCAGTTTCTCTCTCTCCCTCTCTTCCCTCCCACTTCATTCATTCAGACTTGCTGAGCAGACAAGCCACATACACTAAATGTCAGATATTTGAGAGCTGCAAGTAGGCACCTGTGGGCAGCAGTGGTGGAGGATAATGAGTGGCAAGTGGGCACTGAGCTACAAAATAAACTCAAAAAGTTGCATGCAGCTTCTGAGACTCAGTTTGGCCACCCCGGCATAGACTATAGGGCATTTTCCCTTGGTAGAACTAGACCATTTTTCTTGAATTTTCCTGAAATACCTTGAATGGCTAATCTTTTCATTGTGTAATGCATGGATTGATTTAATTTATTTGAATTTGTTTTTGTGAACATTTAAAGGTGTGCTATTTAATAGGAAGCTTATTTTTTTCTTGGTGGAAGAATTCTCTGGCAGCATTTTCAAAATCTAAAGTAGTTGTGTCTATTGAAAAATGAATGCTGATGTAGCATTAAAGAAACTTAAGTGGAGGATGAAGAGGGAAAGACCCTTCTGCTTGTGAAAATGTGAACATATTTCAGGCAGATTCTACTCTTGCTAATATAAGTTGGGGTGATGAGTCTGCTCTTCACATTTTGACTTGAGTAAGCATTGCACTAAATAATAAGATTCTTATTAGAGTCTGAACTCTTTCACTGATAATGTAATCTGTATTTTGATTATCTAAAATTACTTTGTTGTCGACAGAATCAAACTTGCACTAGTGATCTATATTTACTATGTATTATATTTATTCTATTTACTATATTACTATATTGACTATTCCGGTTTGTTCCTTCAGGTTGTGACACCCTGCTTCCTGCCAGTCAACTACCCACTAGTAAGTATCTGACAACAGCTTTGGTCAGTGAATGCATTTGGGAGTGCAATAGGCACAAATCACAACCCCCCAAAACACTCTCTCTCTCCTGCATATGTACATAAACGCATACACACTCCATAGCTCTTTCCAGATCTTATCTGCCCCATGTTCTGTCCAGAATCTCTAGATGCAGTGTTGATTCCTATTATTTATTTTGTTCTCTATCACTATGAATGGAATCACTAGTTAGCTTAGTTGGGTACTTTCCAGGTCTGAGATGTATATTTGGATGGCCACAGAAAAACATAGAAACAGAGCGAGTCAGAAGGGGCCTCCCAGGTCATGTAGTCTGACCCTGGCTCCAGCCAGCTCCACTCGCGATATGCCCACCATGTGCATGTCTAGCCTATCCTTGAACACCCTCACCAATGGAGCCTCAACCACCTCCCATGGAAGCCCATTCCATACCCTCGGGGTCCTACCTGTCAGGAACTACTTCCTGGCATCTAAATTGAACCTTGGTTCCCTGAACATCACTCTGCTGGAGCATGTCCTGTCCTCCTCTGCAGGGGAGAATAGGCCTCTACCCACCTCCATGTGACACCCCTCTCACTTAACTATATGTCGCCAACAGATCCCTTCTGAGTCTCCTCTTCTCCAGGCTGAAAAGACCCAATATCCTCAATCTCACCCCATACAGCTTTCCCTGCAATCTGGCCACCATCCTTGCGGACCTAAGCTGCACTGACTCTAACCTAGCTATATTCTTCCTGTAATGAGGGGCCCAAAACTGAACACAGTACTCCAGTTGCAGGCACACCAGAGTCATATAGAGTGGTAGTAATACCTCTCTCAATCTAGAAGACATGCTTCTGGCTATGCAACCAAGGGTGGCGTTCGCCCTCTTGACCACCGCATCACACTGCTGACTCATGTTTAGCCTGCAGTCAAACAGCACCCCAAGGCCCCTTTCACAAGTGCTGCTCTCCAGCCACTTGTCCCCTAACCTGCACTTATGACACCCATTCCTATGCCCCAAGTGCAAAACCTTGCACTTATCCACATTGAACGCCATCCTGTTGTCTCCTGCCCAGTTCCATAGTCTGTCCAGATCCTTTTGGATCTGGAGTACCTGCTCCTCAGTTGTGGCCACTGCTTCAGCTTTAGTATCATCTGCAAATTTGATCAGCAGACTGTTCACCCCATCTTCCATGTCATTAATGAAAAGATTAAATAGGATCGGCCTCAGGACAGGGCTCTGGGGGACCCTGCTTGTCACTGGCTGCCATCCTGATGATTCCTCACTAATGGTTACCTTCTGCTTTTGGTCAGTCAACCATGCCCTTATCCATCAGATGGTGCATTGCTCTATCTTTGTGCCTTCCCTTATGCTATAAATCCTGAGCCTTTGCTCGTCTTCCTCCTCTGCTGACTGCACTTCCATCCTGTGATCAATCAAAAGGAGCCTCTTTTCACAAGGAGCACATGAAAATTTGGTTGACTAGTTCAGTTTTGCAGCACCTGAACTGATTTAACTCCTCATGAAAGTCTTTTGGATTAAGACACAGGGCTTCCAGGCCCAGAGAGCTCTCCTTATAAAAATGGATCATTTTACTCTGCATGGATATACTGCTGCCCCCAAAGCAGGGAAACTGAAATCAACTGCCTCACTGCAAAGGATCATGCTCAGTGATGATTTATCAAGGGAGAGGGAGGAATATGATTGATGGAATATTGATTTGTTTTAGGCATGAAAGAACAAAACTAGAAGGAGGTATAAAGTTTATGGCAACCATAACAAATCCTGCCATGTATATTCAGACTTATCCAAGAGAATTCTTAATAAAATTTCTCATGCTTTTTACTGGAACAAAGTCAGATGAGATTATTACCTGCTTTTTGTAAACTAGTGAATACTGTATTTTTTAATGTCAAACAGCAGTCATACTATTTCAAGAATGTAAGTAAAAATACATTTTCTGGAAATCTGCAGACACAGAACAGAGATGTTTGAACAACTCTTTGACTTCTGTAATACAGCAACTAGATAATGTTGCATTAAAAACTATTAGTAACCCTATCTTTTTTCTTCTTGCAAGGAACCACAGGCGGTTTACCTATTCTTTCTCCTCTGTATTTTGTCCCAGCAATAACCCTTTGGTTAGCTTAGGCTGGGCTCGGTGACTGGCTCAAAATCACCCACCCTGTGAGCTTCATTGCTGATTAGGGATGACAATTTCCCCCTGCATGGCAGTTAAGGGGGAAAAAAACACTCTGCTGGCACCGGAACTCTGTGGAACAGTACAGAGCTGGAAATGGAGCTGAAACCAGAGCTCCTCAGGCCCAAACCTAGCAGTGCTTCTGCTAGGAAGAACGAACAGCACTTCTTTTCTCCCCATCCTTGTAATAGCACAGTCTTGGTCTCTGGTAGTTGTGCAGTGACCTCAGGGCATTGTTACCAAAAGACAAACGATCCCCTTTGAAGCTGTTTGACATTTTAGGCACTAAAGAACAAGTCAGCTGCTGGTGAGTGCCCAGGTACTGTTTAGATTATTTCTTTATTCTTCCAGTCAAAAGAGTTACTAATAATAACTACTTTAAACACACAGCAGAGACATTCCGCTTTGGGCTGTGCTTGAATTTACGAAGAATTTATTAGGGCTGACTTCATTTGGGCAAATGAGTATTTTTCATCTTTGGAAAGTCTGGCATTTTGTTGGGGGTCCAGCAACAACTTCAAGAAGCATTTAAGATTATTGCCAACTTTGCTTTCAAGGATTCCCATTAGCTTATTTTTATTTGCAAGACTTCATGGACAAGCATTACTCTTGAGCCAGCAGAGGGAGCCCATATAGTTACATTAATTTGAAGCATTGCAAGTCGCAAGGGAAAATAAGGAATCTAATCTTACTTAAAGGGAGCAAAGTATTTGTAAAATATTCTATTTCTTAACGTTCTCAATCAAAGATTGGGAAATTTTAGATCATACATAAATAAAGATCATATATTGAGTCTTGATAATATGGCTTATTTCTGTAAGAAGTGGGATTATCAGTTTTTTGTCCTTCTATGCCAGGGGTCCTCAAGCTTTTTAAACGGGGTCAGTTCACTGTACTTCAGACTGTTGTGGGGTCGGACCATAATTTGAAAAAAATATGAACGAATTCCTATGCACACTGCACATTAAAAATAATTATAATTAAAATAAACTAAAAAGTTAATTAAAATTTTAAAAAGTAATTAAAAAATAAAAAAATGTTTGCTCTGTTCCCTTAGGCTGCAGCAGAAGCCCAAGATGAGGTGGGAAAGAGTATGCCCATATTCAAGGGACATAGCTACAACACAACCAAGGCACTAAATAGAGTATTTTGCATAATGCAAATGATGACTGCAACTGGTATTTACAAAGAATGAAGCAAAAATACTAAGGATAAATACTGTTAATGCCACTCTTAGTATTTGAAGCAAGTCAGCCCAGAACAATTCCCACAGTACATAATGGCTATATTTGGATGCAGAGCTAATGACTACCGTATTTTTTTTATTTTATTATTATTATTATTATAACATTTCTATGCCGCCCCTTGCCGAAACCTCGGGGCAAGTGCAATCTTGCCAAAATTGGTACTGCCCAGATGAGTTGGACTACAATTTCCATTGGTCATGCTGGTTGGGCATGATGGAAATTATAGTCCTTGCCACCTCCTCGGTTTTGAGGGAATGGGAGCGGGAGGCCAGAGAGGTGAGGTGGTTTGGTGAGGCGGCCACAGCTTGCTTGGAGAAGGCTGTGATGGAGGTGTGGGAGCTGTGGCCCTGCTCTGCCTCAGCTTGTCCGCTCCCAGGCTCGGTGAGGTGGCTGCAGCTTGGCCCATAGCCCGGTAATGTGGCTCACATAATTAAAAATAGATTTAAAAAATTGTATTTTTCTTACCTTCAATCTATTTTTAGTTTCTACATCTGCTTCTCTCTCTCTCTCTCTCCCTCCCCCCCCCCCCCGCCCTCATCTCTTCTGTTTCCTGCCCCATATTCTCGCTCTCTATATGCATGCAATGGGGGAGGGGAAGGGAGGAGAGCTGGCACACATGCAGTTGAACTGTTACAATTTGGTGCATGCACTGGCTCTCTGCTCAGTTTCAAAGAACTCCTGAGCTTGCTCAGAGCTTTCAGACTCGCTTGGAGATAGTTTTCTCCAAGTGAGTCCAAATGCTTTGAGGTGGGCCAGATAAATGACCATGGCGGGCTGGAACTGGCCCTTGGTCTGTAGTTTTAGGACCTATGTTCTATGCATACCAGATTGGGGAAAACTAATATATCATGAAGAAATGGTGGCTGTTCTATCATTCTATAGTATGGAGGAAAACTTGTAAAACCTGTTCATTCCCCATCTTTGCTTGTGGTGTGCTGCAGTGGGAACTGTGTGGGTGACTTGTGGAGGAGCAGTTTGTAGATCAGTGTTTCCCAAACTTTTTAAATCAGGTGTGCAGTCTTTTCCTGAAAAGTCTTAAGTCTGGCAGAGCCTGTTCATCCCCTTGGTATACACCTGAATTACGGGCGATGAAGCAGGTTGGGAGACGTCTAGAGCATAGGTGGAGGAAATCACGGGATGAATCTGACCGAACACACTTACGAGCTCACTATCGAGCCTATATTGTGGCGGTGAGGGCGGCAAAGAAGAAATTCTTCTCCACTTCCATTGCCTCCTCACAGTGCCGTCCAGTGAACCTCTTTCGGGTGGTACAGGGGCTGGTACATCCAGGCCCTAAGAAAGATCCTGTACCACCCTCAATGGCCCGCTGTGACGACTTTGCCCAGCACTTTAAGGAGAAAATCGCTCAGATTCATCACGAGCAGGACTCCGCTAGTGATTCAGATCCCCTAGGGGAGGTGCCAGTGTCTCCGTCTGGTCAGATATTATTGGATGAGTTTCAGTTATTGTGGCCTGATGATGTGGACAAGGTGCTTGTACAAGTATGTCCCACCACCTGTTACTTGACCCTTGCCCGTCGTGGCTACTGACG